AGGATACTAGGTGGCAGAAGCTCATAGGATTACAATTACAAAATAAGACTTTCACATGGGAGAAAGAAAATAAGACGGAGGTTTCACGAAGGAATGGGGTATACAGAATGGAAGAAAGAAGGAAGAGAGAGATTAAACGCAAAAAAGTAGGGGTAAAATCGAAAATTTAGTGTTTGGGTATTTTAATTGGATTGGTTTAATGTTGAGTTTTGTATTAATCATTAAATAAAGTTATTACCTAATTTTTTTGTTAACATTTAAAATTTTCAAACGTTTTTCATTAATTTTTTTTAAAAAAATAAATCATGTTGCACGCCCTAACTACGTGTTTGTTGATTGAGAAAATAAAAGAATTGGAAGAAAGTCAAGGTCCTAAATAAATTAAGTAGACTTTAAGGTTAGTTGACTAACTTCATAGAAAATTTGGCTTTCGTCTTTTGACAGCTACCAAAGATTGCCCGCACAGTTGGAGTGGCGCTTCAATCAATTTCAGAATACTTCCTAAATTTCTAAAATCACAAAAAATAAAATAAAATAAAAAATTTCTTATTGTCAAATTTTCTTAAAATTTTATGTTCTGCAACTGTTGCATAAGAGCACAATCACTCAATATTAACTTTTTAGAGGATGATTATCCACTTTTACATTTAACATTTATTGTACTTCAAGTGCAAAATTCAATTCCACCGTAATTTTCTTAATTCCATTATTCCATTGCAATCCAATAAAAACACCCTAAACTTCAGTAGGTAGAATCTCATCTCGACTAAGATTAGCATAAAAATTACATACCCATGCGACAAGTTTCTGATGACATGGCCAACACCAATGATATTAACCATCCCCTTGTGACACCAATCAACATTAAGTTTTACTGAACTCACAGGAGGAGGTTCCCAATGAAGAAAAGCATGTGTTTGAAAGGAGTTTATTCTGTTAAATAATTAAGAGATTTTGTAAGGAAAATGCTAGGGAGACCATTTTTTAAACCATATTTGAAAACTACATGATATGACGGTTGATGGCTGGACTTCTGTTTGGCAAGTAGTATTTTTTTTCCAAAAGCAAGTGGTAATAATCTTAGTAACTTGAGAGTATTCAATTGAGAATTTGAATGATTTAAAAAGAGTTATCAATTCTTTAAGTTTAATAGAGTTCAACAGACTCCATGTGAACTTTAGATAAATTCATCCAAAATTTTAGGAGACATTCGTGATTTACTAAAGCCTAAAATCTTTTCTAATTCATGTCTCATACCATTCGACCCTTCTACTACTGGTCTGGCATGAAAAGAGAAATTGCTGAGTATGTAAGCAAGTGCTTGATTTGTCAGTAGGTTAAGGCAAAAAGGAAGAAACCATTTGGGTTAATGCGGCCTCTTCCCATCCCTCACTGGAAATGGGGAAAAAAATGCAGTAAATTCATAAAAAGTAATTAAATCTGACATGCAATATATAAGCTGACGTGGACACGAGTCAAATGACTATTTTTAGTTTTTCATTTTACATACCGGACTATTAAAAACATGATCTTTTTTAGGGATTAAAATGAAGTTTTCTATAAAGTGAATTAGAATAGTAATGGCACATCTTTGGTATTTTTGTAAGGAGCCTTTTTTCTCTTCTATTCACTCCTATTTAATCATGTTTATTGTTTTTGTTTGATTTATTCAATTGGATGATCAAAAAATAGAGAGGTGTTGAAAATGTTAAAGGTGTGTGAAAAACCAACTTCCGTTCATAAGAGCTGGAGTAGTGTCTTGATAAGGGTGTTACATACTTGACTTTTCGTTATTGACAATTTGACACAAATTTATTTAATGTTCACCATTATTTGTTCTCCTCACCAACATCAAGTGAAGAAAACAAATGTAAGACAGTAATAAAAAAAAATAAAAAATAAAAAACAGAAATAAAAGTAAAAAATCATAATACATCTTAAAAGCATCTTCAAATGAGATGTCAAAAAAGTTCATATCAGCAATGACAGTAAAAAAAATTAATGATTTTTTCAACCAAAATGCCAATTCCTATGTGGCATGACATCTCCTTTAGAGATGTTCTAAATCATAAGAATTAAATGGGTTTTTGAACTTTAATCCTTCAAGAAGATTAAAATTTAATAAAATCTGGTGTTTGATTAAATATCGAGATTTTTTTGTAAACAAACGATATTATCTACAGTAAGGGGGTGGGGGAGTGGGCTAAGTCTCATAATGGGCTAACAATAATGTGGTTCAAATCCGAATTTGGCGAGAATCGAACCTAAGACTTCTCACTTACCAATGAAGAGGAATACTACTAGACCGTAGTACTAAGTGGCAATTACATATCAATTTTAGACCTTTAATGTATACTTAATTCAAATTTATATTATATTTTTGTTTTAATATTTAACGATTTAATGCCTCCACATTAAACTTTAAATTTATTATTATACACGTTCTAATTCATTAATTTTGGGTAACTTCCATATTGAAGCTCATATCATTATGGACAAAAACAACAAACCTGGAGATTATTTGCAGTGTCTGCGAGTACAGATGAGAAGAAAGGGCGTGACCAATGGAGAATTCTTGGCAGCAGGATTCAAGGAGCAAATAACCCACGTCTTGTTATTGGAGAGTTCAAGGATATCTTGGACAAAAGATTTTTCAATGTGCCGGAAATATGGGATAGAACATCAGGTGTCTCTATGCAAGTGGTGAGATTCTTCTATTTAAAAAATAAAATTTCCTACCATTTAAATAATAACGCATGGTGTACCACTTGTGTTACGGTTACAAAGAAATTTCTATCTTGGATGAGCATGAGAAGGAGGGAGGGAACCTGAAGACCAAGGCAAGCATGACAGACTTTAGGGATTTTGTAACCCTTGATGGTCTAATTGATCTAGGCTTCACGGGTTATCCCTTTACGTAGAAAATCAGGAGAGGATGGATTTATACAACAAAGATTGGACCGGGGATTAGCATCGCTTTAATGGTTCAATTTGGTATGATTTGTATTTTTAATGTTTTAGTTCACTAGGTTTGCTAGATTTGGTATGATCAATTTGGTACGGTTTGTATTTTTTATGTTTTAGTTCATTAGGTCCGATACATTTGGTGTGGTCAATTTGGTATAGTTTGTATTTTTTATGTTTTAGTCCATTAGGTCTGGTCAATTTGGTACGGTTTGTATTTTTTATGTTTTAGTTCATTTGGTCCAATAATTTTTGCATTATTGATTTGTTAGGCCTTATACATTAATTATGGTTTACAAACTAGAAAAAACTTCATTTTAATCCCTGAATAAGATTATTTTTTCAATAACATTGTACGTAAGATTAAAAATTAAAAATAGTCCTCCATGTCAGATTATAGAATTCCATGTCACATTCAATATGTGTGTGTGTGTGTGTGTGTGTATATATATATTTAAATTTTGTTGCATTTTTAGTTTCCCTGTTTACCCTTTATTGAAATTCCTGGTATAGTAGATGCTATCACACATACAATCATACTCAATTCGATGGAATTGTTTGATCTTAAAGGGAATCTTCTATAATTTCGCACGTGAGGGGTTATTTCTTGGTTTCATTACTCTCTTAAAACCAATTAGAGAAACAAATATATAATTAATTTTCCAAAAATGCTTACTTAACTAGATCCATAATTAACATGTTCGTTATAACAATAACATTATGGTCATTACCATAAACCTCTATGTTTTATTCCAATCAAAGAACCCAAATAACTTAGAAACCATGATAAAAAAAAAAAGCCAGGAAATTCAAAGACCAAAAATCTTGTTGTATTCGGAAGAAAAAAACAGAAAAAAGGGCTTTTAGTTTTAGATGCCAAATTGATGGTGAATCTAGAAATAAATGAAAAACAAAACAACACAAATAGAGAAAATGGAATGTGAAATCACAACCTAATTAACAGTACCGAATTTATAGGACCTAAACTTTTTAACATACCAAATTTATTGAACCTAATCTATCATACCTAGTGAACTAAAACATAAAAAATACAAATCGTACCAAATTGACCGTACCGAATCTATCGAACCTAAACTATATAACGTACCTAATTGATCATACCGAAACTATTAGACATAAATTAGTGCATTCTTCACACAATATAAAATTTCAATAAAACAAAAAAAAAAAAACAAAACAAAAAACAAAAAGTAGGTATTTATAGACAGTAAAGATGGTATTTTTCAGACAATGAAGATGGAGGTTACTTTAATGAGTGACAATGACGTAATAGTTACATTTTTCAAATTTTGATGGTGGAGGTTATATTGTAGATAGTAAGGATGACATTTTTGTAAATAGTAGTAAAACTTGTGGTTTTATTATAAGTGACTTGTCATGGTGCATTAAAATGAAGGATCTTTTTTAGACATTGCTAAAAATCATCTTTGACAAGCCCTTATCTCTAAAAGTCCCTTTACAAAATGCTTTTCAATTTTTTGTGTTTGAATCCCTTAAAAGGGGTAATATAGTCAAACAAAAAATGCAGTAAATTCATAAAAAGTAATTAAATCTGACATGCAGTATATAAGCTGATGTGGATATGAGTCAAATGACTATTTTTAATTTTTCATCTTACATACGGTACTATTAAAAACATAATCTTTTTTAGGGATTAAAATGAAGTTTTCCAAAAAGTGAATTAGAATAGTAATGGCACATCTTTGGTATTTTTGTAAGGAGCCCTTTTTCTCTTCCATTCACTCCTATTTAATCATATTCATTGTTTTTGTTTGATTTATTCAATTGAATGATCGAAAATTAGAGAGGTGTTGAAAATGTTAAAGGTGTGTGAAAAACCAACTTTCGTTCATAAGAGCTAGAGTAGCATCTTGATAAGGTTGTTACACACTTGACTTTTCATTATCGAAAATTTGACACCAATTTATTTAATTTTCACCATTATGACAGTAGAACAAAAAAAAAAAAAAAAAAAAAAAAAAACAGAAAAGATAGCTAGTCCACAGCATCCATGATCAATTCTGAAGGCGATATGAAGGAATAGCGAGCAGATTCTTGGCCCTTGAAACTGCAAGACCAAACTCCTCAGTCATATCCAACTCATTTGGCAACATGTTATCTGGAAGTTCCCAATCAAAACAATGCACAAGCTGAGCCAACACAAAGTGTACCACAGTAATCCCTAACTGCATTCCAACGCAACGTCTTCTGCCAGAGCCAAACGGTAGAATCTTAAAGTAGTGTCCTCTAACATCAACATTGCTATCCTCAAACCTCTCTGGTACGAACTTCTCTGCATCTTCCCAAGCACTTGGGTCTCTCACGATTGCCCACACGTTTACGATAACGCTTGACTTTTTCGGTATGTGGTAGCCATCGACAGTGCAATCTTCGATGGCTGCATGAGGAAGCAACAATGGTAACACAGGATGTAGCCTCATGGTTTCCTTCTCTACCATATCCAAATACTCCAATTTCTCCGTGTCTGATTCCTCCACCATTCTATTCAGACCTACAACATTTTCTATCTCCTTTTGGACTTTCTTCATAACCTGTGGATGCCTCATGAGTTCCGAGAGCGCCCACAGGACAGTTGTTGATGATGTGTCCGCTGAGGCCACTAACATGTCCTGCTAATAAATTTTCCATTGCTAGATGAAGTATGTATAGCAGGATGACATATGTACATAGATGACAATTTAATGTACATGATAAATCATAAATTTGTATCGTCAATAATCAATCTTGTATATTCAAACAACTGTTGACCTATGGTTCACAAGCACAATCTAAGACCACGTCATGCTAAATTGTCTAACAAGAAACAATTTCGTTTTAATTTGAAGTAGAAGAGGTCGGGCTCTATAAGAATCCTGGACTGTGTAGTGAAGGAAAGTCTTCTAGGTGATCTGTCATGCCTACTTCTGTTGGACAGAGAGGTTGCCCAAATTGCACCTTCCACCTGAACGTCTGATCCTTCCTTTGTCTTGGCATACAATATCACAAAATAGGTCCCACTAGGTAGGCCAAAATTAATGTTCGGGCTAGATCTATCCCTCGCACAACTCCTCTTTGGTCTTGCATGTCGGGCAAGGTTTGTTGCTTGGTGTTTTGCAATATGAGTTTGCTATGAGTTTAAATGGTGCCTTTGTGGGGCCTTTGTTAGGCCTTGAGGCTCACAATCACAGCTAATATGGATCTGAGCGTGTCACTGTCATCTTTGTATAATAGATTGTTCTTTTTTGGTTATAAACTGGGTTGATTACTTACGCCACAAGTTACTTAGACTTCTTGATTCTATTGAATTGTTACATATTGGTTAAGTTTGTATAAAGTTTTTTTTCTTGCCTTGTAAGCAAGGACTTTTACTCATAATATTGTATGTCCAAATAAAAGGAGTTCAGGGCCTTTCCAACAATTTCTTGTATTACAGTTAATACTAAAGAAGCAAGCTTAATTAGTTTAGCCAGATTAATCATAGATGAAACTTTGAACGAAAAGTAGTTGAAACTGATTTAAAACACAAAGGAAGATACATTAAACAACATATCTACTTTATGTAAGTACAAACAAAAGAGACTCGGGGAAAAATTATAACCTTGTTAGGCAAGGTTCATCTTCTTGCAACCTCTTCTCTTTGTGTTTTAACAGGGGTTGTAATCTTTGGAGAATGAGATGTAAATCGGGTTTACTAAAGGGATTCAATACTACAATACTAGGCAAAAGTAGCAGAGCTTCTAAAACTTGACAAAAGATGGCTTTCTATGGTGGATCTATGATTAAAAAGATACAGTCTGGACAAAATGAAGGTTTCTGGTTTCTTGCTTGTCTGAGAGCAAAGTTGGATGTCTTTTGATTGATTGGTTGAGTGTCCTTGTGTTTTGTGTCCCTTGCTGCTTTTAAAGACTTTTTAACCCGATTGTCCAAGCCTTAATGGTGAGTCACCACTTATTTACCTGTCCATGCCCTTGAAAAGTTCTTTTTGCTGAAGGTGAGATGCCCTCTGAGTGTCACTTCTCACATAGGCTTGTTGCTTATTCCGTGGCAAAAATGATTTTTAATTCTGCATGGGTTGTTGACTTGTCCAAGCCCAATCGTCCCTTTGCCTTTTGTGTTCTTCCGCTTCCATTCTCACTAAACCCATCATTAAATATCCACTCAAACACGATCATAAGAAAAGTTAGCATTTTTGAGTTGACAAGCAAAGAAAAACGAGTTTAAAATTTAAGTGGCAGGAGAAGAGGAGGGGGGGGGGGGGGGGGGGGGGGGGGTGGGTGATGGGGGATGGTGGGGTTGTTGGGTTGGGGGTTGGGGTGGTGGTGAAGATCCCAAGCAAGAGAAGGGGGATCCGAAGTACGTGCTTTTCTTAGCATTACTTGGTCTCCATAATATTTCTTTCCCATTCAAAGCGCAAATAATCTATTTGTTGACGAGACAAGCAATTTGGATGGTCCCTTGCCTACCACATTTCAAACAATATCTAAAAGAGGTTGACAGGCATGGAATTCTTCCATCTTTTGTGAACAAGTTACAGCGTAATATCCTTCCAAGGTTGGTAAAATGTGTCGAATTAGAGACTGGTCATAAGCTTATTTCTTATAACACTAATATTGTCCTAACTTGGTAATACCATCAACACAATCTGTCAGGTGTGGAGTTTTATCGTAAACTGATTCGCTATTAGTTGAAGTGGGGTTAGGATATTTTAACTCTTCTTTTCTTAGAGATATGGTCGATGGGGGATATTTCTACACGCTCTTTCACGTGGGACCTAATTAGTGAGTCACAAGTGGAAGACCCACACATCAACAACTATGTGGAACCAAGAGAACTCACCATACACGCAGGGTCAAGAGACCCACCATCATCGTATGGGGTCAAGGAGATCCACTTCTCAGATACGCAGTTGATGTAAGATATTTTAACAAAATATCCTGTAAAAAATTGTATAGACAGAATAAATTACATCGCATTCGAGTAGGCTAACAAAACAACAAATGTGAGACAGAAAAAGGAACTGTTTTCCCAACATGGGAGCCTTGTCCTGGTAAACAAAATGATAACTTACACCCACATCCTTTAAAAGTCAAAAGACTAGCAGAGCCATCAATCTTGATTTCCCAAAACAAAACGATAACTTACACCCATATCCTTTAATGGTCTAAAGACTAGTAGAGCCATCAATGTTGATCAGTTTCGCAATTCCAGTGATCGCAATAAAACATTACAAAATATTTATAGGAAAGGAAAGAAACAGGTTGGAGAGGTCTTAGATACTATTATCTTTAAGGACGAATTAAACAACATTAATTTTAGTCTATTGTAAGGTTTAACCCGCTTTTCGACTTTCTTAACGTAGATAAAATTGTATATCATTCATTATTCACCGATTTTATTACCTTGAGAATACAAAAGTTGCATTATGTGAGTTGCATTTTGTGGGAAAGTTCAAAAGTTTTGATATAATCAAAATCAATCAGAATTCTATGGTACATATGGAAGACATCAAAGATCAACCAACATCATCAATGTTTAGCTTTAATTTTTATACTCCATAAGATCCATTCATTCAATCATTTCATACATCAAATATTTAATGACAAAATTAATTTTTACTAAATTATAACACGTCAATTGAATGAATATATTTTTTGTATTGATGAAAATAGATATAACCGTTAATCGATGGGAAATCCGTTACCTGATGGGTATGATTATGGATAATAACCGATGGTTCATTTGCAGTTATGAATATCGTTAATTTTCGTGATAATAGGAATAGATATAATATTTTTGTCCTCAAATCGAACAATTGTCATCCCTATTTGTACCTGGCAAACAAACGACCATCTTTTAACACAAAAGCCTCTGCAACCGAAATGATGACACCATCAAGATCCAAAGCACCAGCCCAATAGGTTGACACTGGCAAACGACCATCCCTAAGAACAAACGTAGTTGCAGCTTTCTCCTAACAAACCGATTTGTCAAATTTTAATTTTAAAAAGCCATGAGAGGGAGGACGCCAACAAATAATTTATCAATGACACTGGCTACTCTTTGAGTTTTTTTTTTTTGTTAAATTAGCCTCAAAATAGGATAAACCAACTCTAGCTGGAATTGCAATGCTCCTGGAAAGACGAGGAATATACTTCGAAACACTTTGTTATTTCTATCATTCTAAATTTGCCAACAATTTGAAAAGAGCTTTACTGAGCTCACTCAAACCATTGCACTTGACACTGTTAATAGATTCCAACCAATCCAAGATATCGTTCAACTGAACGGTATTATTCAACCAAGGATTCAGCAGCGAACAGTTCCACATTTCTTCTGCAAACTCACAATTAAGAAAGAGATGATTTTGAGTCTGATCATCCTTTCCACACAAAGGACACGATTTATCCATATTTTGAATATATTTACTTAACCTCACCCTAGTGTTCAATCTACCATGAATAAGAAGGCAAGCAAAAATTGTTACCATATGCGGGATAATTAACTTTCACAACCTCTTAAGGAGCTTTTGCCGATTCACTTCTTGGTTTTTATTGCTCTGGATCCAAGTGGCTGACTTAATTGAAAGCTTATCAGAAGAGGAGTGGTCCTAAATAAAGTAATCCTCCTTCTCACAGTATCCACATCCAAGACTTACAAGAGTTTATCCCTGTCCCAACTCTTATTATCAATAAAATCACTAACTTTAACTTTCGGATTACTGTTTTGCCCTTGACTTACCAGAATAAGATGGAATAATGGACAAGGAAAAACCCATCCATGGGTCAAAAAAATGATATCCTTACCATTACCCACCACCCACCTCATTCTCATGTGAATAATGTGTCTATTAATTAAAATGTCTTTTCAAGCCACAGTGATTTTGCTTAATCTTGCAACCTAGGAAATCACACTTTTTTAAGTATTTCTTTTTCACAGCTTGGACCCATCAATTATTGTCATCCTTTAAAACTTTCCAACCTAATAGCATGACAAACATAATTGAAATGATCCACTCTTCTAATACCTAATCCCCCTTGGTCCTCCGAATTACACAGTTCGCTCCAAGCTATAGGCGAAAATTTCCTATCTCTCCCCCATATCAACCTTCTGTAAAACAACCAAAATTCTATTTTAAAGAGTTAAATTTAAAAATTAAGATAACTCAACTCCATGAGATGATGTAAAGGAGTATTTACTATAGCAAAATGAACAGTCTCTCTTTAAATTTAGAGTGTAACAACTCACTTGCAAAATATTAAAAAAATAATAAAAAAACTCAAGTGTAGAGCAATGAGAAAAGGAAGAGGGAGAATGTTGTTTTACAAAATGAGTGGGTTTAGTTTGAATTGTTAATAATAATATATTCAAAGCTTGTTAAAATGGAGCGGCTTTTTTTATTTCTTTTTTTTTTTGTTTTTTTAGGAGAAGAAGGATAATTCATTCAACATCAACATCATAACAATTACACCAACCGCATGTAAATCAGAAAGGTCTTGCAAAAAACCTTGACCGCGTAAACCAGAGGGATAAACCTTGGCCATGGAAAAAGAGACCGTACATGCACAGTACAAATGAACTCCAACCATGACACTACGCACTAGCCATGGAGTCTCGTTTCAACCCAAAA